TGTGTGTGTGTGTGTGTGTGTGTGTGTGTGTGTGTTTGTATGCATGTGGAGGCCAGAGGTCAGCCTTGGGTGTTGTTCCTCAGAAGCCATTTACTTTGTTGAGAAAGAGTTTCTTATTGGCCTAGAGCTCACCAGTTAGTCTAGGCTGGCTGACCATCTTACCTCAGAGATCCCTCCTATCTCAGTTTTCCCAACATTGGATTATAGGAGTACACTGCTGTATGTGGCTTTTGTTTGTTTGTTTTGCTTTTTACATGGAAAAATTCAGGTCATTGTGTTTGTGTGGCAAGTACTTTATCAACTGAGCCATTTCCCCAGCCCCAAATAAAAATAAATAGCCTTTTAGCTAAATTATAGTAACTTAACTATTTGTCTTTAGGTTTACGCTCTAGAAACTGTTACAGCATAGTAACTCCTCAAGGCCCCTCTTTGTGTTTGTTTTAATAACTAATTGTCGTCTACTCAGAGAGTTATGGGGGTGTGGCATACAGTACATCTGTGCTGGGCCAGAGAGCCCCTTAGACTTGACTGTTAGTGTGGTTATCTGTGTTCCTGTTGTTCTGTCTTGGGGGTTGCCCAGCATTCAGACTGAATGTACACGCCTTATCTAGAATCCCACTTGATTCCTGGGATCTGAATGAGGGTCCCTCACCCTCTTGTCCCCTCCGAACAACCTTCCTCCAGAACTGTTTGGACAACTCTGAGCTGTAGCCTCTATTTTCATGGCCCTGCTGATGGTCCTTCCTGCCCTGCTCTGGATTTTCTCTCAGTCTCAGGAGCTTACTTCTTGCCTGTTCTCCTGGTGGTTCTCCTCTTGTGTCTTCTGCTTCAGAGCCTCTCTGAGTTCAGTGAGATGAGCCAGGCACGGGGGACCAGTTCTATGCTATTGCATGCACACATGTGTCCATAGCAGGGGCAGTAAGGTAAAGGTTTCCAGGGCAGAGAAGTCTCTTAATGGAGACTGAGTTTGCATTTAAGAAGGTGAGAGTTGTATGGATGGGGAGTGGAGGCTGCCCAGTACCGAGTGTGCTTCCTCTGCTGACCTGTATGCTTAACGTAGGGTGGTGCACGCATCCTAATTGGTCTTAATAAAAACTTGGAGTCAGATATCAGGGTGAACACTGAAAGATCAGAGAAGCAGAGCAAGCCACAGCCACCACCCCTTACCTCACCAACTCCTCAGCCTGAAAGAGCCTGAGTTCCTGTCTCCTCCCGCCTTATATTCCTTTCTCTGCCCAGCCATATCACTTCCTGTCTCAACCTTCCTAGTGCTGGAATTAAAGGTATGTGCCATCACTGCCTGGCTCTATTTCTCTTTTAGACTGGATTGATTTCATGTAGCCCAGTGTGGCCTTGAACTCACAGAAATCCAGATGGAGCTCTGCCTCCTGAGTGCTAGGATTAAAGGTGTGTGCCACCACTGCCTGACCTCTATAGCTAACTGTGGCTGGCTCTGTCTTCTGATCTTCAGGCAAGTTTTATTTCTTAGATTACAAACAATATATCACCACATTAGGGTCTCAAGGTGTGATTAGTGCATACCTTTTATCCCAACACTTGAGAGACAGAGGCAGGTGGATCATCTATAGAGCAAGTTCTAGGACAGCCAGGGCTACAGAGAAACCCTGTCTCAATCCTCACCCCCCCCCACCCCATTACCCCCCACAAAAGTGTAAGGAGGGAAAACAAGAAGATAGCTTAGCCAACAAACCTCTAATGCTATGTTTCTCTGGTAACCTAAGAGACATCATGGCCGTGGCAACTCTTACAAAGGAAAGCATTTAACTGGGGGCTTGCTCATTGCCCTGTCTCTCCTGGTTTACTGGGTAGGATGTCCCTGTATTGGTGCTTATTGGTCAGCTGAGAGGCACAGTGCATCTGTGGCGTGGTTTGCTCCTGTTGTTCAGTCTGCTGGGGTGGGGTCTGGGGTAGTCTTGTGTATCACTCTGGCCCTTCACAGCATGGACCTCAGGTGTGCATCCTGTACATTGAGAACGGCTGGCTCTAGGCTTACCTCCCAGCACCTTAGCCCGGCTGTCTATGTGGTATGTTAGGCCTTCGATAGGCAGCCATGCCCAGAGCTGCAGGTGGTGGGAGCCACGGAGCTACTTTCACATGATCTCCATGTCTCCCTTGTACATCTTTTGCCTCCCGCCTCCACTGTAACAGCGATGAGGTCAGGACTGGTAAGGTCTGCAGCATGGCCCCACGGTGTGTTTGTCTTCATACTGGAGAACAGTCCACTACTTAGTTGGGGGCTGACACAGGGAGGAGGGGGGCATGGGTGTACAGTTGAAGAGGTGAGTGTCCTCGGGTACCACTCACCCAGAGACCAGCTGCAGTGGAGCTAGGAGTCAGCACCCTGCTTTCCAAAAGTGGAAAGAGGGTGCACTGACCTGTGTCTTCACGGTGAGTGGTCTCGAGGAGGGCAATCTCCACGATGAGTAGGCAGGGTAACATGGAACACCAAGCCACTTGCATGCGCTGGGTCACCTGCAGGGTCTGCATACTATCTTCATATACCTTCTTTTGTTGCCAGAGCTGCCACGAAGGGCTATGCCCATTCCTGCTCACCGAGTGTCCTGCATGTAAAGTCCTGGTCCGCCTCAGCGAGAAGGAGCACCACACTGAGCAGGAATGCCCCAAAAGGAGCCTGAGCTGCCAGCACTGCAGGGCATCCTGTAGCCATTCAGACCTGGAGGTGCGCTGGGCGGGGACAGCCTGGGTGGCATTGTCTGCACACTGGCAGTCAGCTAGAGTCTGCTGCCGTGGTTGGAGTTTGCTTAGCTTCTGCTTCATACGTGTCTCCATGGTGCCATGGAGGTTAGAAGGTTCTTGGTGGGACTGGGCTTTGGTATGTAATTACAGTTAAGAGTACTTGTTGCTCTTTCAGAGAACCTGGGTTCAGTTCACAGCACCCACATGATGGTACACCATAACACCAGTTCCAGGGATCCAATGCCCTTTGCTGACTTATGTGGGTACCAGGAAAGCACATGGTTTACCAGGCAAAACACTTATACATATAAAAATAAATAAATCTAGAAGTATTTACATGTATATTTTGAGACAGATTCTCATCTGTAGCCTTAGCTGGACTGGAACTTGCTATGTAGACCAGGCTGGTCTCAAACTTACAGAGATCCTCCTGGTTCTGCCTTTCAGGTGCTGGGATTAATGGTTTGTTCCACAATGCAGGACTAAAAAAATTTCAAGTGTTTATTTGCTTTTCAAGACAGGGTTTCTCTGTGTATCTCTGGCTGTCCTGGAACTCACTCTGTAGACCAGGCTGGCCTTGAACTCAGAGATCTGTCTGCCTCTACCTTCCAAGGGCTGGGATTAAAGGCATGAGCCACCACTGCCTGGCTTTTTTCTTTTTCAAGTGCTTATACCCAAGTGTGATGACTCATAATCTCAGCGCTCAGGACCCCACCTCGCCCCAAACAACAAGAAAAACATGTCTTATTTTGGAAAAGTTGAAACAGCAGGTAGAGAAAACAACATTGTGATTCACCAGCTGTGTGCCTGTCCTCCAGACTGTTCATGAGCTAATCTGACTGCATGTTATTTTGTCTACAGTAGTTCACGATGTATTATCAGCAACAGCTTGCCATAGCTTTAACAGGGCCTGAGATAATCGCTTTCCAAAGCGAAGGTTTGTCTTGGCTTTGAAGTACGTGATAGGGGAATGGAAGAGGAAGGGACTGAGGACTTAGTGTCCCCTTTGAGGGCATGTTCCCAGTGGCCTAGAGAGTTTTCATTTGGATCACATCACATGCACACCTGTGCTAGTGACTAAGCCTTCAGTGTGTAGATCTTGGGGGCACTTCCAAGCCGGAGCATATCTAAGATTTAATGATATTTACTCTGTCCCTCTCTGACTTGCCCACATTCCTGCTGTGGAGTGAGAAGGTATCCTTCACTCACATTTGCTGGAGTCAGGGTCATCAGCATCTTTTTCCAGGCCCTTTCTCAGCTGCCTACTCTGTTTGCTCCCCACATCCTCTGCTGGATGATCACATCTGGATGTTGGGCATGCTGTAGTAGCATATCACAGTCTCTCTTCAAGGGAATCTGGCTGTGCTCTGGGCCCACGTGAGGACAGTGTAGTCTAGTTCTGAGAAAGTCCTGCACTGCCATTTCAATCTCTACAAAGACCCTTTGTTCTAGTCAGGAGTTGCAAAGTGGTGATGCTCCCTTTTCCTCATCTTTCTCGTGTTCTCTGGAGGCTGTCGAGGAAGAAGAAAGTCCTAAAGTCTGACTTTGTAAGGGCACCTACCGGATCTCACTCAGTGTTAAACACAGCTTTCAGAGAGGGTCTGAGGAGCCAGGAGTACTACATCAGTGTCCTCCTAAGTGCTGCTGCTGTCTTGACACTTCACGTGTCCCCTCCTCCTTCCCTGCCCTGCCCTGCTGTTGGCATCCCCATCTAATGTTCCTGTTTTCTCTAAGGTACACTACGAGGTCTGCCCTAAGTTCCCCTTAACCTGTGAAGGCTGCGGCAAGAAGAAGATCTCTCGGGAAAAGGTAGAGCAATTTCTCCATCTTCTGAAGACCGTGGGTGCTAGACCTGATGGGCAGTGGTGAAGGGCTGTCATTTGGGAAATTTTATGACCTAGTGCTCAGAGGGAGAATAGCAGCAAAGTGAGGTTTACTTGCTGTTACCAGGACGGGCATGTTCTTGGGCATGGTGGCTTATTCTCCAATATTCATTTGGATTTTTTTGTTGTTTATTTGTTTTGAGGCAGGATCTCATTATATAGCTCTGGGTGCCTAGAATTTGCTGTGTAGACAAGGCTGGCCTTAAAGTCATGGATTTGCCTTAAAGGCACCTTTCACTTTGTCTGGCATTCCCCTATCCCTACCCTGACTCCTACCAGGGATTCATGTAGCCCAGGCTGGCCTGGAACTTAATGTGTAGTCGAGAATAACCTTGAATTCCTGATCCCCCTGCCTCCAACTCCCAAGTACTAGGATTGTAGGTGTGCACACACAATCATGGGTTGTATTGTTAGAGTTGGGCAAGTTCCTTTTTGGGAGTGGGGGGCATGTAGTGTTGGGGCTGGAATTCAGGGCTTCACGCTTACCAAGCATGCTTTCTGCCACTGAGCTGGGCTTCCTTCTTGTTGACAAAAATACACCTCTCACCACCAGGAAATAAGAAGTGGTTTGTTTTTTAGCTAAATACAAATGACCATGGCCCAAGGATATAGACTTAGTTACCCCAAATAATATAATAAGGTTTTTGGCATGTAGCCCTGACTGTTTTGGAACCACTCTGTAGAACAGGCCTCACAGAGATCCTCCTGCCTTTGCCTCCCAAGTGCTGGGATTAGAGACTGTACCACCATTCCTGGCTTATTGTTATTTTTAAATGATTTCATGTATGTTAGTGTTTTACCTGCATGTATGTCTGTGTGAGGGCTTCAGGTCCCCTGAAACTGGAGTTGTGAGTCACCATGTGGGTGCTGGGAATCGAACCCAGCTCCTCTAGACAATAAGCCAGTGCTCTCAACTGCTGAGCCATCTCTTCAGCCTCCCCTGGTCTCTTTTTTTAAGTTGCATTTTTCACAGGGCAAGTCTGACCACACTTGCTGCCTGGAATGGTAGGTAGAAGAAGGATGGCTCCTTACCCTCACACTGGGTCCCAAAGAGGTGGTCTTTCTCCTGCCCTTACCAGACACGCTTGTGTTCTGTCTAGTGTGTGCTCAGGTTTCCTGTGTTCATCAATAGTTCTCTTATTCTATCCGGTCCCTGCATAACACAAGGGCCTGCCCTGTTCTTATGCTCTCTGCTTGTGAATCTGAATATTCTGCCTGAGGTCCAGGGGTTTCAAGGTTATATACTCTCAAGACTGACAGAAATAACAGCTGGGTTGCTTTCTGTGTGGCATGGACCTCCCCAAATCATAAACTAGACTTTTCCACAGCAATCCTGAAATGTCTCCTTTCCACAGTGATTGACAGTGGCTTGTCTAATCTTGATTTTGCATGACAGTGAGAAGGTCAATAGGATGCATCCAGTGGTTTCTTTTGTTAAATCTGACATCATCGGTACATTAAGAATGGAGCGGGTTGGGATAGGAGACCCTCAGTAATGACAATGACCCTGGTAACTTTATTCTCTTGACCCTCCAGTTTCAGGACCATGTTAGATCATGCACCAAGTGTCGGGTTCCCTGCAGATTCCACACCATCGGCTGTCCTGAGATGGTAAGTCAAGGGTCTGCTGTTAGGGACTAGGGGCCTGAGTGGGTCTTTCCCTTATCCAAAATGGTCTCCAGCTATGGCTCCTCCTAGGTTCTTCAGCCTTTCTGGTATCTTCCCTGGCTATCTCTCTCAGCAGCCCTTCTTCCTGCCCTCAGGTACCCAGGCTTACCCTCTGGAAATCTCTAGGTGACTTTGATTACTACCCATATATAATATGCTTCTGACACCTCGAGCCTCCCAGGATACCTAGTGGACACCATAGACCACACCTTGGCCTTCTCTCCTTGTTCTCCACCCTCTTCCCATATCTCCCAGGAAAGAAGCTCATTGATTGTTACATTGTCTTGCTAAAGCCTCAGTGCCCAGTGGTCTGCTGGATCCTCTTCTTGGTTCATACTGCACATGCAGCTAATGAATCCTTGACTGTTGGCAGATGGATCCTGTCCCCCCACTGCTGGCTTGTGACTTGGTCATCTCCTGCCTGTCCCCAGCCTTCCTGTGTTGGCTGGGTACCTCCTGTCCACTCTGCTGCTCTGCTTTGTTAAAGAAGAAAACAAGATAGGGCTTGACCTGGCTCTCCTGTGGCCTCTCCAAGTTCTGATTCACAGTTGTTATGGTCCCTCTCCCAAGACCTCTGCCCTCTGACCCCAACCCTTTGCCTTGCTATATTTCTGGGGACTCCCTCAGACCTCCACAGGTCCCTGTTCACATGTCCCCCTTCTCTGTTTGTGCAGACCCCTCATTTTCATCCTGTACAAGCTATTTATCTGTTTATTGTTGTGTGTCGTCCCCCCCCCCCCCTTACAATGGGATCTCCTTGGCATCATTTCCCTTCGTGACTCCTGACCACGGGCTGCTCCACAGAGGGCCTATAGGCTATGTGCATTAGGGGTAAGAAGAGGCAAGCTGAGGGTGTGGTGTCTGGTAACAGAGCAGCTCTGTCCTCTTCTGTTGGGGGGGGAGGGTTGCTCCCTTTCAAAGCAGCTGAGTCCCTGCAGAAGGAAGTTCAGAGCTACCAGGAAGCTGAGCCGCTGTCGCCTTGGGCCTTTTCAGATCACAGGGTGCTCCAGCTAAGCTCTGGCATTGTGGTGACCTTGCTGGCCCCTGCTGAGGAAGCCACTAAGCAGATAGCACATCCTTTTTGTGTTCATCTTAGTTCCACCTACACCTGCCTTGTGAGGTGCAGATACTTCTGCTGTGCCTCCGTCATCCAGGTGCCTGTGCCTCCAACTGGGGACACAGATGTCTTGGTTTCTTTTTATGTTTTGAGTGTATCTTGATAAAATTAGTTTATTTTTTTTTTATTATTTGTAAATGTTTTTATTACACTTATTTTGTGTGTGTGAGCCATGACATCTATGTGAAACCAGTGGACAGCTTTCAGAGTTGGTTCTGTCCTTCCAGCATATGGGCCCCAGGGATTCAGTTCAGGTTATCAGGCTTGGTGACAGCATGTTGACATGCTAAGCCATCTTGCCAGGCCTAATTCTGTTTTAGGTTGGGTTTGGTTTTTGATTTTTGGTGTTTTGTTTTTGTTTTTGAAACAGATTCTTACCGTGTAACCCAGGCTAGTTTTTTTTTTTTTTTTTTTTTTTGGTTTTTCGAGACAGGGTTTCTCTGTGTAGCTTTGCGCCTTTCCTGGAACTCACTTGGTAGCCCAGGCTGGCCTCGAACTCACAGAGATCTGCCCGGCTCTGCCTCCCGAGTGCTGGGATTAAAGGCGTGCGCCACCACCGCCCGGCTCCAGGCTAGTTTTAAATTTAGTATGTAGACCAGGCTTGCCTTGCACTCATAGAAATCCATCTGTCTCTGCTTTTTGAATACTGGCATTAAAAGCATTTATAACATAAATTTCCAAATGGTTTTTTAATAAAAAAAAAAATGCCAAATGGTTTCTTAATAAAAAACAACAACAACAACAACAACAAAAAAAAACAAAAACAGAGCCAACAAAAAAAATAAGCCGGGAGGTGGTGGTGCACACCTTTAACCCCAGCACTTGGGAGGCAGAAGCAGGTGGATCTCTGTGAGTTTGAGGTCAGCCTAGCTAGAGTTCCAGGAAAGGCTCCAAAGCTACACAGAGAAACTCTGTCTCAAACAAAACAAACAAACAAACAAACAAAAAAACCCCAGAGCCAGATATTGGAGTAAATGCTGAAAGATCAGAGAGACAAAGGAACAAGCCACAGCCACGTCGCACCTCACCAACTCCTCAGATCCTCTGACTGAACGCCTCTGAGTCCTCAGTCGAAAGCTCTCCAGCCAAAAAGCCTTTACTTCCCGTCTCCTCACACCTTATATACCTTTCTCCACCCAGCCATCACTTCCTTCCTAGTGCTGGGATTAATGGTGTGTGTGTGTGTGTGTGTGTGTGTGTGTGTGTGTGTGTGTGTGTGTGTGTGTGTGAGTGAGATTAAAAGTGTGAGATCTCAAGTGCTTCGATTAAAGGCGTGTGATTCCCAAGTATTGGAATTAAAGGTGTTTGCCACCACTGCCTGGCTCTGTTTCTCTCCTAGACTGAACAATCTCATGTAGTCCAGGGTGGCTTTGAACTCACTGACATCCAGACAGATCTCTGCCTCCTGAGTACTAGGGATTAGAGGTGTGTGCCACCACTGTTTGGCCTCTATGTTTAATCTAGTAGCTTCTTCTGTTCTCTGATCTCCAGGCAAATTTTATTAGGGTACACAATATAGCACCACAAGCATTTGCCACTGTGCCTTTTTATTTTTCTTAATTAGCATGCAGTGTAATGAATGATATAATTTTGAAGTATATTTAACTTCTTAAAATTTTTTACACAAGCCAGGTGGTGGCCCGTGCACGCCTTTAATCCCAGCACTCAGAAGGCAGAGGCAGGCGGATCTCTGTGAGTTCGAGGCCAGCTTGATCTACAGTGAGTTCCAGGAAAGGCGCAAAGCTACACAGAGAAACCCTGTCTCAAAAAACCAAAAAAAAAAAAATTTTTTTTTTTTACACAAGTTCGAAAATATTTAGTTGTGTCTTAATTACTTTTCTATAATTGCTGTGTAAAGACACCATGACCAGGGCAACTTATAGAAGAAAGAATTTATTTATGACTCAGCAGTTTCAGAGGGGTCCATGACCATCATGGTGGGCATAATGGCGGCAGGCAGGCAGGCATGCATGGTGCTGAAGCGGTAGCTGAGAGCTTCCATCTTGAGATAACAACCACACATCTCCCAGTACAGTGTGGCCGGCCCATGGTGTGCACTACCCCGGCCGATTCTGTACACACCCCGTCCTGTACCGCAGGTGGAGACTGAGGAGCTTCAGGAGCATGAGGTGCAGAGGCTGCGGGAACACCTGGCCCTGTTGCTGAGCTCGTTCCTGGAGTCCCCAGCCTCACAGGCAAGCCAGAACCAGGCGGGGCCGGAGCTGCTGCAGCGCTGCCACACTTTGGAGCAGAAGACAGCCACCTTCGAGAACATTGTCTGCGTCCTGAACCGGGAAGTAGAGCGGGTGGCAGTGACTGCAGAGGCTTGTAGCCGGCAGCATCGGCTAGACCAGGACAAGATTGAGGCCCTGAGTAACAAGGTTTGTGCCTAGCGGGGAGAGTGAGTCCTGCATCTTTGGAGCCTGGACAGCATAGAATAGAACTCCATGATTTGGACTTTGGCCTCTTGCTTTCTGATTCTCATGCTCTGAGAGACTCAACTGTAGGGTTTGATGGGCTAGCAACTGAAACTTTTTGGCCTAGGAGTCATGCAATATGCTGGGGACATGTAGGCCCAGAGCCTTCCAAGTGGACTGGAACATGTACCTCACATTTAGGAGGTAGCTCCTGGGGACAGACAAGACTTGAGCGACTTCTAAAGGCTAGCAGTGTGGGAAACGGGAGCTCAGGATGCACAGGGTACGGCAGTCAGGTCCCTGCCTTCCTGTCAAAGTGAAGTGGTCTCTGCTCTGCAGGTGCAGCAACTAGAGAGGAGCATTGGCCTCAAGGACCTTGCCATGGCCGACCTGGAGCAGAAGGTCTCAGAGTTGGAAGCATCCACCTATGATGGAGTCTTCATCTGGAAGATCTCAGACTTTGCCAGGAAGCGTCAGGAAGCTGTAGCTGGCCGTACACCTGCTATCTTCTCCCCAGGTGCCATTTGTGGTCTTCCCACCTGCTTCAGAGGCCTTCTGGAATGTTCTCTGGCTGGGGTAGGGCACATATTCAGCCAGCACCAGGAGTGTCTGTATCTCCTTGAGAAGCAAATTGGCCGGGCAGTGATGGCGCACACCTTTAATCCCAGCACTCAGGAGGCAGAGAGACAGGTGGATCTCTGTGAGTTCGAGGCCAGCCTGGGCTACAGAGTGAGTTCCAGGACAGACTCCAAACCTACATAGAGTAACCCTGTCTCGAAGAAAAAAAAGAGAGAGAGAGAAGCAAATTGGACAGTGTGCCCTACTCAGTTGGGAGTCTATAGGCATGAGGAGTTAGATGTGGATAAGTATGCCTGTCCCTTGTCGCCTGCAGATGAGCATGGTGGCTTTGGGGTGAGTAATGAAAGGCAGACCTTTCTAAGCAGGGCCATGGCTTCAAGCTTGTCCAACTTCCAACTAGGTTGAGCTTTGGTATTTGCTGCAAGCAGGGAGCCTGTGAGGATGTTCCTCAGTCTCCTGTCTCCTCCTCTCCATCTACAGGGTCTGTAGAGGGGCGCTCTTGAGCTCCTCTGAAGGGTCCCGCCAGGTCCCTTGCACTGCCTGCTCTTCCTACTGTCCATACACTTCGGTCCCTGTCGTGTCCCTCTGGGTGCCCCAGACCATGATGGCCCAGGCCTTTGTGCCCTTGTTAGTGTCTTCTTCCTGCTCGGCAGCTTACTTGATAATGTAGTCATCAGCTGTCCGAACTTGTCCTGCACTCACTTTATTTTGGGCTCCCTTCACAGAACTGCCACTACAGCAGAGGTTCTCGGGTCAAGCTGAGACTCTGGGAGACCCTCTCCTTCCTGGATTGCCTTGGGGCCGGTGGTCCCTGCCTGCCTCGCTATAGAAGACGGGGCACTCCCCTCAGCTCTGTAGCATCCTCACGGGCATCAGCAGAGGCCAGAAGTAGACCAACCTAGAGCCCTTCTTCTTGGATTGAGACTAGGAAAACAAGTGTTTTAGTGAGACGTCAAGGGACCCGTGGGCAGCCTGGGGTGCCTGATACTATTTCTAGACTTGGGTCGTCTATGTGGGCAGTGCCTCCCCTGCAGGTGATTTATTTAGTAGGTGGTAACCGCTGGAGTGTGCAGGCTTGGGCTCCAGGCGTCTACAGTTAGTGTGGTAAGGGTCCAGCATGAGGAGCCTGTATCCTTTGCAGCCGTCTCCTGGGGCTGTAGACGGGGAACACTGGTCTCTGTAAAAGGTCTGCTTTGGAAATGGCTGCTCGTCCAGGTTTATGTAGCAGGCAAAGGCTACAAGGAACAGGGAAGGTAGTTTTTTAGCGCTGTACTTGGAGCCCTGCCGCAGAGACTTAGATCTGTGGGGCATGGACAGTCCTGTTGCTGTGAGGGTCACTATAGCAGGCAGCCTTTGGGGGCAACCAGCTGAGTGCTGTTGTTCAGCTCTCCCTAGAGAGGACACACTTCTTTTGACTCACAGCAGCACGTCATGGCAAGCAGACTGGTACAGAGCTTTTCATCTCCCACTGGGAATCAGAAGAAGAGGGATGAGCGGAGATCCCACTGTCCTCTTCAAGGGCATCCCCTCAGTGACTGAAGCACCTCCTTGTCGGCCCCACCTTAGGAAGGTTCCACCCTCTCAAGACAGTATCAGATGTTTAACAAATGGCAATGGTGTGGGACATTGCAGACCCATACTACAGCATGTGCAATTATAGATTCCTAAAGGTGGTTAAGCATTGGTGTACATGACTACTGAGGCTAAGTTCCACAGTAGGCCAACTTTATGTGGAAACCCTAGTGGCTGGTATAACCCTGAAGTCCAGATACTGAAAAGCTTGATGTCTAACTCCATAGACAGGCCCTACCCCCAGGGCGGGGAGACCAGTTTGGTTTTCCTCTGTTATTTTTGTTCGGAGTCTCAGTTGATTGGGTCCACCTATACCAAGAGCATCTTTCCCGTGTGGTCCACTGCTCATCTACCAGTCTCTTAGAAACAGCCCTCACAGATACTCAGAGATAGTGCTTCCCCAGCCCTCTGGGTAGTCCTTGACCCAGTCAACTTGACACTAAAATTAGTCTTCACAACCATTAACATGTTTTGTTTGCACTTAAGAGTATATTGTGTGTCTTCTGTTATTTTTTGAGGCAGGGTATCATATGATAGTCATGGCCAAGGCGACCTCAGATTTATTGTGTAGCCCAGGCTGAACTTGAACTCATTGAGAAGCTTGTTACCAGGTCCAGTTCTTGTCTTACACGGCTTAACCATGTTCTGGCTGCTTATTACCTGTAGGGCAGTGATTCTCAACCTTCCCAATGCTGTGACCCTTTAATACAGTTCCTCATGTTGTGGTGACCCCAAGTATAAAATTGTTCACTGCCACTTCATAACTGTCATTTTGCTACTGCTGTGAATAGTGATGGGAATATCTGACGTGCAAGATATCTGATCTGCTACCCCAAAGGGGTCGCACCCCGCAGATTGAGAACCACACTGTAGGGCTGAGGGACATTGCCTACTAATTTGAGTTTCTGCTCCTCAGATGCTTCTGCTGAGGCAGGCTTGGGGTTCTTATGGCCTGGTCTCCCTCTATAGCTCTGCTGAGGACCTCCGCTGCTGGTTTTTTGTTTTTCCACCATAGTTTTTAATATTTTAAAATACTTACGGTTTGAGGTTATTAAAATTATCATTGTTAATTCTAACTTTAAAGGGGGGATACAGCAAGATAGCTCATTGGATTTGTGAGACCGCTGTCTGGAATCCACATTAAAAGTAGTAGGAGAAGCCGGGTGTTGGTGGCACGTGCCTTTAATTTTTTTATGTAGAGGCAGGCAGATTTCTGTGAGTTCAAGGCCAGCTTGGCAGAGATAGTTCCATGACAGCCAGGGCTACACAGAGAAATGGTCCCCAAAAAACAACAAACAAACCAACAACAAATTAAAAAAGTGGTAGGAGAAAGCCAGGTGTGATGACACGCACCTTTTATCCCAGTTCTTTTTTTGGGGGTTTGGGGGAGGTTTCGAGACAGGGTTTCTCTGTGAAGTTTTGTGCCTTTCCTGGAGAGTTCCAGGCTGGCCTCAAACTCACAGAGATCCTCCTGCCTCTGCCTCCCGTGTGCTGGGATTAAAGGCGTGCGCCACCACCTCCCAGCTCATCCCAACTCTTGAGAGGCAGAAGCAGGTGGATCTCTCTGAGTTTGAGGCCAGTCTGGTCTATATAGTGAGTCCCAGGACTACCTAGAAAGACCCTGTCTCAAAAAACTGTAAGAAAAATGACTCTACAGAGTTGTCCTTTGGTTTCCACATACATGCCATAGCATGCATGTCCCTCCCTGGAATATTGCATATGAGCACACACATTAATAACTTTTTTGAAGAGAGTAAGGCAGGAGGATTTGGAGTTGGGGGCTATCCTGAGCTGCATGGCAAGATTGTCTGGAGGTCTGGGGGGTTCTTTTGAGAGGAAAACCTTCCCTGATATTTCCCAAAAGCTGAATGGTTGTTTATGTTTTCACCTCTCTGAGGGTGGGCTGCGGGTGGAAGAGCTGTGTCCTGCCCGTTCTCACTGGCCCTTTTCCATACTTCCAGCCTTCTACACAAGCAGATACGGCTACAAGATGTGTCTGCGAGTCTACTTGAATGGCGATGGCACTGGGCGGGGAACTCATCTGTCTCTTTTCTTCGTGGTGATGAAAGGCCCCAATGATGCCCTCTTGCGGTGGCCTTTTAATCAGAAGGTATGAGGGGCAGCCCAGGATCCTAGGGGGAATCTGAGTGAGGTTGGGTTCCGCTTTCGAGTAGCCAGGTTGTCCAAGACAGTGTACATAACCAGCACATTGGCTGTGGTGCCCCAGTGATTTCTCACTGCTGGTTGTGGAACATATGACTGCTGCTTGACTCACTCATTTGAAAGTCTCCTGGGGAAGTAAGTGTGCTTCAAGGGAAGGCCACAGCCCCAGAGCCCCCCTGTGACTGTCAGAGTTAGGATGTGACTGCTTAAAACCAGGGTCTTCCTTAATGAAGGAACTGACCCTCCAGAGACCAGGTCGGACTGAGGATGGTCCCTTCATCACTCAGGGCCCAGCTCTCTCCCCAGAAGCCAGTGGAGGAGGCAGAGCAGGAGATGAGGACTAGGAGGCCAGGGACTCTGACCAGTCCAGGGCCAACAGTTGGACCTCGTTCTTCTTGTAAAGTGCTTCCAGATCACGGCAAGAAAACATCTGTTGCTGAACACTAGAAAGAAATAGCACTCAGGAGTACAATGTGTAGTACTGAGTTTTAGCCTCAATTTCCAGACACTATGAGCATGCAATACAACCTTGGACATGTGTTGTTCCCAGATGAGGAGCTGAATACACTGTGGCCAGTGTATCTAGGCACACTGCTGTGGGAGAGATAGGATAGGACTAATGTGGGGTTTTCAGGTGACTCACCTGTTCCTTTCCTGGATTGACTTCTCTCAGGTAACATTGATGTTGCTGGACCAGAACAACCGGGAGCATGTAATCGACGCATTCAGGCCTGATGTGACCTCATCCTCCTTCCAGAGGCCTGTCAGTGACATGAATATCGCCAGCGGCTGCCCCCTCTTCTGCCCTGTGTCCAAGATGGAGGCCAAGAATTCCTATGTGCGGGATGATGCTATCTTCATCAAAGCTATTGTGGACCTAACGGGACTCTAGCCACCTGTACTAGGAACAGCAGCTCAGTGAGGAGCTGCCACACTGGGCCAGGGCCCTGCCACACAAGGGTGGGCAGGCTTGGTGCAAGCGCTGGGAAGGGCCTCCGCCTGAGCCAGTCACCATCACACGGAAAGGCAGGACGGAGCCTCCAGTTGGTCCTCAACTGGTGGACTGAGTGGGGGGGTCCATTCAGCTCAGGGTCCTTGTGGGACCAGCTGGGGTCTTCTCAGCTTTCCAGTAGAAAAGTTCTCGCTGTCTTTTCTGTCTGGGGAAGGGAGAGGCCCTTGGGTGGGGTACTCAGAAAGAGCCTGGAGAGAGAGAGAGAGGGGGCTTCAGAGCTCCACCAGCAGCAAGAGTGTGGTGGTCGAACTTACCCACTCTGGCTTGTGGCAAGGAGGTAGGGGCTCACAGGAGAAGGGCATCCACCTGCAGAGCCCAGCCCAGGGGAGAAGCACTCTGAGACACAGGCACGCACTGGAAAAGGCCTGCCTGGGCTGCACAGCCCTGCCAGGTGGCCTGTATTGAGGAGAAGTGATTAAACTATTCAGAAGTCTATGACAAGTGGTGTTCATCTGGCTCCAGGATGCCTGCTGTGTCCAGCCTAGGTAGAAATGGCCCTCTGGGGCTTCTGCTTTCCTCTTCACATTGACTGTCTGTTCCTTATACCCTTCAAGCCCAGGGCTCCATGTGAGCACTCCATCATGGGTCTGCCTGTGTAGAAGTGAAGGACTGACCCTTGCCTGGCTCATGTTCAAGGTTGTTTCCTCAGGGTTCTGGCCTGGTTCACTCTTTGGACTGAGGTTGGAATAGAGGCACCATGGTCTAGGTACGGGACATGTCTGTTAGTCAGAAGGCATATCCAATCTCCATGGGTCCGCTTTCAAGTCACCACAATAGGAAATGGGGAGAGCACCAGGGTGGACCCATCCATGCCCATCTCGGTGAGCCTGCTGTGATTGAGGAAACATTGCTGTCTAGACCTGTTCAGGTTCCTGCTCTGTCTGAATTTTCACTCTGTATGTGCTGGCTTTGAAAGTATACGGAAACAGCATGGGATGGCATCATGGCGGAGGACTAGCTTCCCCTGACTGCCCTGTGGCTTTCTGGTGGAGGACAGACATCTTGTTTTTTTCTCCTGCGTCTGTGCCTTGAGTTCGTAAGCTGGACCAGGGTCTAGGCCCGCCTGTCACCTGTGGCCCCAGGAGAGCTGGGGTTACGTGGCTGTCCCTTAGGTATTTGTACTTGCTCTAGAGAACTACATCAGGGGCCTTCGTGGGGCTGTGTGTGACCTGTGTGCCTTGTAGTAACTTACTTATACTTCTCTGAGGACTGACTTTACCAGCTTTATTGCTCTGGAATTTCTCCATAGGAACTGCCCATTTCTGTCCATTTTTCTACTTACTTTCTTCCTGCTTGGTAAAAGTTTCTGGTCTTTCTAACATTGATCCTTGATTGTGCTTGAACTTTTTTTCTTTCAAGGCAGGATTTCTCAGTATAACTGCTCTGGCTGTTCTGGAACTCAATTGATAAACCAGACAGGCCTTGAACTCACAGAGATCCACCTGCCCCTGCCTCCTGATATTTGAACCTTTTTGATGTAGAAAAATTCAAAGCTGAGATATGATCAGTTAAATAATGTTTTAAAGTTCTAACAGTTTCTATGTTTGGCAGCTCATTTATATATAATGTATACTTTTTTTTTTTTTCTTTTCTCTAGAAATGTGTCTGTTTTAAAACTAGAATTAGGTAATTCAGGTTGAAGCTGTTTTTGTTTTTGTTTTTGTTTTTTGTCTTTTGGTGTTTTTTTTTTTTTTTTTTTTGAGACTGGGTCTTTCTGAGTGGTCCCCACTATTCTGGAACTCACCATGTAGACCAGACTAGCCTTGAACTCACAGAGATCTACCTGCTTCTGCCTTTTAAGTGGGATTAAAGGTTTCTACCACCATGCCCAACTGGTAATTTTTTTTTCAGGTAGAGTTTCTAGGCTCAGCCAGCCTCTAATTCTCTAATTAGCCAAAGATAACTTTGAACTTGTGATCTTCCTGCCTCTGCTTCCCAGGTACAAGTGTATGCCACTGTCCTTGGCTTATATGGTGCTGGGAATGAACTCCAGGCCTCGTGCAAGCTCTCTACCAATCCCCACTCCAAACTGGTAGATGGTTACGTTGGAGTAACCTTAAAGGCAAATGGAGGGGCTGAGGGTGTAGTACAGTGGTAGAACACAGTTGTCATGCACAGGCCCTGGGTTCCATCCCTACTGTGTGTGCATCTAACACACACAGGAGATGGAACTATGGAATGGGAAGAATAAAAAGGTATCCCCAGAGGGCTGGGCATGGTGGCATGCACCCTCAGCCCAGCACTCAAGAGGCAGAGGCAGGTTGGATCTCCGAGTTCAAGGCCAGCTTGGTCTACACAGTGAGTTCCTGACTCAAGAAACCAAACCAAAACAAAAAGTGCAGTATGTGTGGGGACAAAGTCAGAGGAGTCAGGACAGGCAGAGTCTGAGCCTGTCTGAAGTGGGGGAATGCTGACAGAATCGGGGTGAGGGTGGTCAGCTCTCTACCTGGTGAGTCCCAGGGTGTGGCGAGAAGCTTGCAGCTCACCTCTGTCCTTGCTTGCTGCCTAATGAGACAGATGTTGACTTGTCCCCTCCTTAACGCCGTGAGGGAATTAGGCTACAGGGAAGAAGAGGGTCTGCCACTCCAGCTGTCTGGAGGCAGATCACGAGCAGGTATGGCTTTGCTGCGCATTGCCTCCCGGGGGTGACTACTGCAGCACACCTCACCACGAGTCCCCAGAGTTTACAGAACCCCTGTCCCGCCCTGTGACTACAGCACTTCGTCCTGTCAGCACATGCGCTCGTTATTCGCGATAGTAATATTAAGAGCTATGCCGGGCGTTGGTGGCGCACGCCTTTAATCCCAGCACTTGGGAGGCAGAGGCAGGTGGATCTCTGTGAGTTCGAGGCCAGCCTGGGCTACCAAGTGAGTTCCAGGAAAGGCGCAAAGCTACACAGAGAAACCCTGTCTCAAAAAAAAAACCAAAAAAAAAAAAAAAGAGATGCATAATGCCTTTTAGCAGGATGGTTTCACAGTCCACCCATGTTATAGTATGTGTTAGAATTTTAGAATTTTCTTATGTGTGTGGTGTGCATGTGTACATGTAATGTGTGGACACCCATGTGAAGTTCTGAAGTTGGTGTGAGGAGTCTTCAATCACTTTCTACTCCACATACTGAGACAGGGCTCTAAGAATCCCATCCCTGCTTCCTGAGTGCCGGGAATAGAGGCCGAGCACCATATTTGTCTGGCGTGTGCATGGGTGCTGGAGATCAAACTCTGCTCTCCATGCGAATCCCCAGCCTCTGCTAGAAAACTGGATAACTGAGCTGAGCAGTGGTGGCACACATCTTTAATCCCAGCACTCAGAAGGCGTAGGCCAGCCTGGTCTACAGAGTGAGTTCCAAGACAAGACAGCCAGGAATGTTACACAGAGAAACCCTGTCGCAGTCTACCAGGAATTTTTTTTTTTTTTTTTTTTTTAAACAGGATCACTCCTTGTAGCCCTGGCTGTCCTAGAACTGTTGACCAGGTTAGCTTCAAGCTCTGCTTATCTCTGCCTCCTGATCACCACCACACCCAGCTTTCTTTCTTTTTTTTTTTTAAGCATTAAAAATGTTTTAAAAATACATATATATTAACTTTTATTTCTGGTGTATGTTTGAGTGCCTGCATGTATGTATATGTAGTACTGTGTGCATCCTGGTACCCAAGGAAGCCAGAAGAGGGTTTCGGATCACCTGTAATTGGAATTACAAGTGATTGTGAACCAGCAAGTGGTTGCTGGGAACTGAACCTGTGTCCTCGAAAGAACAACACATGCTCTTAACTGCCCTGCCATCTCTCTAGCCCCAAAGGTTTTATTCTTTTGTATATGTGTGTGCACATTTGCACACAGGTGGCTGGGCAGGCCAGCAGAGGGTGGCAGATTCCCTGATGGTTGGAGTTACAGGCGGTTATGAACCATCTGGCATGGATGCTGGGAACCAACTTCTGTGTGCTACAAGTGCAGCACGTGCCCTGAACTGCTGAGCCATTTCTCCAGCCTCAGGAAAAAAAAAAAAATGATCCTTTTGACCCTCCTTCCATGTTACCTGTAATTTTAGTTCCAACATATATTTTTGTAACAATGGATTTTAATATTCAAAGCAGGCACTCTAACAACAAGACGGCCCCTGCCGTCTTTTTCTTCCCTTGCTCGCCTGCCCCTCCCCTTTATGAGATAGTCTCATTATGTAGCCCTGGCTAGCCTGAAACTGTAGATGAGACCAGGCTGACTTCAGACTGCAGAGGTGATCCTGCCTTGGCCTTCTCTTTTTGATGATTTTTCTTTTTGTTTGTTTGAGACAGGGTTTCTTCTGTATCCCTGGCTGTCCTGGAACTCGCTCTGTATGCAGACCAGGCTGACCTCGAACTCAGAGATCAGCTTGCCTCTGCCTTCCAAGTGCTGGGATTAAAATCATGCACCACCACCGCCTGACTTCTTTTTTTCTTTCCTTCCTTTGGTTCATCAGTCTTTCAGCACTTCAAGCCACAAGTCTTGTCACCTGGATGAAACATCACTGTTTGGCCTGTCACTCTATTTTACAGCTAAAATATTCAGTAGATTCTTTAAACATCACATAATAAAATCAGATTTTCTTCTTGGTGAAGTTATGAGACTTTTAAACCATGGGCAGTTCTGTGTCAGCTCCATGGTAAACATGATATGGATGGTTGTCTCCATCAATGCAGATCCACTCCTGCTCACCCACCGCTGCCGGTACCTCAGTCTGTTTCCCTCTGTGTCTTAGGGTTACTATTGGCTTGATGATACACCATGACCAAAGCAACCTAGTGTAGACGAATTTCTAAAAAATGTTCTTATTATATAAAAAACACGGAGCCAGAAATTGGGGTTAAAGCCTTAGGTCAGGGAAATACGGAAAGCCACCAGCCAACCTCACCTCACCAACTCTGCAGCTTCCAAGAACAACTTCCTGTCTACCCAGGCTTATAGTCCTTGCTTTTCTGCCCTCTCATTGGCTCTTAGCCCAGCTACCTCACTTCCTCTTTCTACACAGCTCTGTCACTGTCTTTCTGTACAGACTTCTAGGTCTCTATGGTTAGTACTGGGATTAAAGGCATATAAGTCTAACTATATACAATATATACAAGCAATAAATACATCAACAATGTCTGGTCCATTTGCATTGGACAAGTTCCATTATCCTATTTTGGCGAGTCCAAAATGTACCTAATTCACTTTCTATCCTAACTTATTACCAGCAGAAAACTATCTTATATCTTTCAAACTTATACACTTAATGCCTCTTAGTTTCTTTTCTGAATTTCTCGACAAGGAAAACTATAACTAACTCCTTCAGAGACCCAAGAAGGAAATAATACTACCTAGTAAAACATGAAGTGCAAACAAGTGACTTCTAAAAAATGAGTTATGACAGAAACAGCCAGCTGCCTGGACAGTCGCCTAAAGTTTCTCTGCACACTGGGGTATCATCTTCGGCCCACAGGCTTAGCGTATCTGACAGACTCATTTGTGAAGTAGGATGTGCACAAGGCCTACAGTTCGACCTCACATTCGGTGCGAGTATTCCATGTACCAGATAAACTTGAATTCCGCCAGTGCCCTGTCATGATTCAGAATTTTAAATTCCGGAAATTGCTGGCGTTTTTTGGGATTCGGCTTCCCATTCTTCTCGGCTTGTGGGTGGCTTCATCTCCTTTATTAAATGCCAGTCTACCATTGAGAGACCAGACTCCATCAGCCTAGTTACTCTTCAAGAATTAACTGTTTCAGCTGTTGTTCCACTGCACACCAGAAGCCATCGGTCCACTGCCTGTTCAGCTGCCTTCGAAGAAAGGGGCACTGTACCTTTTCTAGATTGCAAAGCCACTTCAGCGATGGTGCCATATTGTCCTGGCCGTATGGCCTGGGGTTAAAGGCACGCACCACCCACCGCTGGCTCACTCCAGCTTCTGTGTGTGACTTGTGGGTTTGAGTCCTTAGGCTTTCATTGTAAGCACGTTACCAGTCAACCATGTCCCTGACCCTCTCAGAATTCCTTGCTAGCACCAAATCATGACAGCCTTCTGTGATTTCTAGACATTCTGGTGTTTCCCACATAACAGTCAGGTGTGTTGTTTCTTAATCATCTTTTTTGCACAAGACACAGGGTTTGTGTTAGCCCTTGTATGTGGTGGCGGCCTGCTCAGTGCTGTGTTGAGACGGCGCCTGGGCCTCAGCTGTGTGTAAACCGCAGCTTCTCTGGCCCTGGCTTGGCTTTGGCCCTTCTGGAGAAAGATTAGCCTTTCCCAGGGAACTCGTGTTGCTGTTGTGCGTTTACCTGTGACGTCCCTGGGATCTGTGTGCCTTCTCAGCA